CAAAAATCCCCAGAGAGTCTGTCTGCAGATTGCCTAAATCCATAACCAACCCTTGAAATTCACAGACAAAGTAAACCAGGAAATTCCATTTTCTGTGGTGGTTTGAGCTGTGTTTTATCATCAGCAGTCAAAAGAATTTAGTTAGAAAAGGGCTTTGGGGTTTTGATGCTCTGTGGGAGGCTGCTACAGCAAAGTAATACACGTTAGCTTGTGCTAACCACTTTGCCACGTCCATCAAGGCGACCCAGCTGGTTTAATCAGCAAATACCACACACAGCATCATCAGGCTTTCGGATTCCATGCTCTAAGGAAGGCTGGGCAGCCGGAAGTGTCCAGGAGACAGTGTCCAGGATTATGAGGGGACTCAAGCCTACAGCACGTGGGAAATGCTTGGAGGAGCCATGGCTGTCTGGTTTGGAGAAGGCTTGCAGGATGGGAGAGCTGCCTTCCAAAAGGAACTGTGGCCCAGGATTTGCTCTGCACATGACAGTGGGCTGTAGGAGGCAGCCTGCGGAGCCCAGGTCTAATTGACCACAAGAACGAGCTCCCGCAAGCACAGTGTGGTTCCCAGGTAGCAGAGGCTACCCATGGTCACGTGAGCTCGAGGAGAACTGGAAAATGCCCTGGCAAGAATGTCACGGGGAGGTTCTGAGCCCAGCTCACCCTTGCGGGCACTTCCCTTGAGATTCTGAGATTTATAACCATGATGAGCTATTGACAGTGCTCTTCTCGGGATAGCTGGCAGCTAACTGACAGCAAGTTGCCTGCTTCTGAACTGTTTTGGCCTCATCAAGGGTTGGCCTTGCTTCTCAATGTTTTTATCACTCCCTCAGTAGCCAAGTGAATTGAAGGGAAGTGTTTGCCCGACATGCTGAAATAGAATGAGCCACCAACCCTTTCCTCACAGCCCTTGTCCTTGCAAATCACCCGTGGCCACTCGGGCTCTCCTTTGTCATTTGTGACAGGCTGTGGTGTTGTAGGTCCCATCCTGGGGTTCTACCCAGGAAAGGCAGGATGGAGCCAGTGGGGCTGTGGCAGCCCAGAGCACTTGCTGACTTGCAAATGGGACCATTCTTAGCTGAGTCCTCGTTATGTCTGCACTGATTGCCAGAGGGTCTCATTCCCCATGAAATGTTAGCCCACCCACTGTGCCTGATTCACACCATGTCCCCAACACCTCTCACAGGCCAAGTGTACAGTAGGACTGCAAAAAACACGTATTGCATGAAAGAATGGAAGGTCTGAAATGGACCCTGAGGTCCTCTGATCTGTTTTTCATGTTCAGGATGAGGCGTTGTGACTCAGAGAGGTAAAGTGACTTGCCCAAGTTTGCACAGCTAGCTAGTGGCTGAGTTGAGTTTCCTGAATCTCAGTGTTCTCCCTTGCACCACAGGATCTGAGATGGAATGGTGAGACTTACAGTCTTGCTGTCTGAAGCTGTAGTCTGCTTCTCAGTACCTCTGGCTCTGGCTCTTTCCTTCAGTAGCAAGATTCTGGGGCTCTGGGGCTCTGGTCGACAGCCCCGACCCACAGCCTGGCATCTCGGGCTGCATCCGTAGGCCTTTGCATCACCTCTCTTCCCTTTGAAAAATGATAAATGATTGTGTGTGTGTGTGTGTGTGTGTGTTTGGGAGGGGACAACACACACACACACACACACAAACATACACACAGGAGAGGGAGAGCGAGCGAGTACGTACTCCCATCCAGTGAATTATTTTCCAAATGCCTGCAATGGTCAGGGCTGGACAAGGGCTACAGTCTGGAGCTGGGAACACATTCAGGCCTCCTGCGTGGGAGGCAGGAACCCAATCCTTTGAGCCACACTATTGACTCCAAAGGAAGACACTGGCAGGAACCTGGAGTCAGGAGCCAGAGCTAGGGATCAAACCTGGTACTATGCTGCAGGATGATGGCATCTTTTTTTTTTTTTAAGATTTATTTATTTATTTGAAAGGCAGAGAGTTACAGAGAGTCAGAGAGAGAGAGAGAAGAAGAGAGAGAGAGAGAGAAGAAGAGAGGGGAGAGAAATGAAGTCTTCTAGCTGCTGGTTCACTCCCCAAATGGCTGCAATGGCCGGAGCTGGGCTGATCCAAAGCCAGGAGCCAGGAGGTTCTTCTGGGTCTCCCACACGGGTGCAGGGGCCCAAGGACTTGTGCCATCTTCTACTCCTTTCCCAGGAGCATTAGCAGAGAGCTGGATTGGAAATGAAGCTGCCGGGACTCGAACCAGCACTCATATGCCAGCACTGCAGGTGGCAACTTTACCCGCTGTGCCACACACAGCACCGGCCCTAATGCTGGCATCTGAACTACTAGACTAAATGTATACTCTCAGACAATATTTCTATGTTAACATAGAACATATTGCATCTGTTTTCTATTGCTGAGCGACAAATTATCACAAACCTTGTGACTTAAAACAGCACCCATTCGTGAGTTCCCAGGGGTGTAGGTTGTGAGTCTGGGCAGGCATGGTGGGGGTCTCTACTCAGTCGTACCTGAGGCTGCAGTCCAGATGTCTGCAGGGGTGGGGGTCTGGAAGCAGGCTTCCTTTCCCTGTGGTTATAGGATTGAGGTCAGCTCGGGGCTTCCCAGCTGGGTGGGGTTTTCTCAGCTCCCAGAGGTGCCCTTGCTTCACAGGGCCCCTCCATCCGCACAGGCAGCACCAGAGAATTCCCTCACCCTGTTGGCTTGTGTTTTAAATTTTATTTTTACTTATCTGAAAGGGAGCGATATCAGTCTTCCATCTGTTGGCTCATTCCCCAAGTGCATTCAACATCCAAGATGATGCCAAGTCTAAAGCACGGAGTTGGGAACTCAATCCAGGTCTCCTATGTGTGTGGCATGTGTTGTAGGGACCCAAGTACTTGAGCTGTCACTTCTACCTCCCAGGACACGCATGAGCAAGAAGCTGGATGGGAAGTGGAGTAGGGAATCGAACTAAGGGACTTTGATAAGGGATGCAGGTGTCCCAAGCTTGTAACTTGCATCAGATGCCTGCCCTTCCCTTGCTTTGAAACACCTTCCTGTGGATCTCTGATTTCTTCTTTTTCCTGCAGCAGAGAAAACTGCATTTAAAAGGTTAAGATGCCCTTGGAAGGGCTGCCTTATGTTAAAGTCAAAGGTCCCTGAGTCACACGTGCTGTCTCACCTGAGCCCAGCCCCCGCCCCCCACACCATGGTACAAGGGCCCGGGTCATTTGGGTGTCACTTTAGCCCTCTGCCACCAGGCTTCTTTCACACACAGACTCCTGTGTTTTCTTCCACCCCTCGCCTTCATTCGGGCTGGTGATCTGCTTTGCACTTGCATGGAAACGCACGCAAGGCATGCGAAGTGTCAAGAAAAGCAAACATCCTGTGAGTGTTTCTTCTTGGCTTCCGTTTACAAAATTCCAGACCTCTGGGAGAGCAGGGAGATGCCTGGAAGAGGCAAAAAGGAGAAAGTGTGTGTGGATGAAGGCAGTGTGCTTAGAGACTCAGGAACCAGAAGGGCTTTCCCATCCGGGGAATACTGAGAGAGCTGTCCTGGGGAGTGCAGGTTATGGCAGATCACTGACGAAACACTGAGCTGCTGTGGTCACAGGTGGCCTCCAAGACACCGCTGCCACGTGGACAGGCTGTGGCAAGTGCTGTTCCCCAGGCGGCCACATGCACGGTGACACTGGACATCACAGCAGACGTGGGTGGTTTCCAGGGCAGTGTCCAGCCCTGGGAGGGGCAGTGCCAAGGAGTTGGTGCAAGATTCTCACCCGCTCTGCGGAGGGGAAGCACTGGTCAGAGATGACACTGAGTTACAGGAAATACTACCGTGTCATTTGCACATCTGGGCTTGTGGACTGGGATTCACACCTCCCTACCCAAACCAAAAAGATAGGAGGGCGTTTTTGGGGAAAATGTGCTCATAATGGTGTATCGATGTGTAGAATCAGAAGGCATGTGTATGTTTGGATATAGTCCTCATAATAGCAATATGAACTCTCATGGGCGCGTGCACACACACACACACACACATGCTCACACTCATACTACAGTATTTCAAAAAGTTCATGGGAAGTGGAATTAAAAGATAAGTTTAGGGGTCAGCATTGTGGCGACCGCCTGTGACACCAGCATCCCATATGGGCACTGCCAGCATATCTCATAGGCACTGGTTCCAGCTCCCTGCTAATGGCCTGGGAAAAGCAGTGGAAGATGGCCCAGCCCTGTATGTGGGAGACCCAGATGATGCTCCAGGCTCCTTCCTGGCTTTGGCCTGGCACAGCTCAGGCTGTTGTGGCCTTCTGGGGGACTGAATCAGCAGATGGAAGATCTGTCTCTCCGTCTCTCCCATTCTCTCTGAAACTGTGAATTTCAAATAAATAAATAGATATATCTTTAAAAAAAAGAGGTACGTTTATCTGGGCCAAAAATTTTTGAAATCCTTGCGTAGTTTTTTCATAATATGAGTTTTCATGATATTTCGAAGGGCCCTCATATATCAGGGCTATGATTCGCCTGTTTGTGTCCCTCCAAGGTTCATGTTAAACTTAATCCCCCATGTGGCAATGTTAATGGCGAGGCCTTAGGGAGGGGATGGGGTCCTGAGGGCTCTGTCCCCATGGATGGGATCTGAGTTCAGCCCCTTCTTCCCTGTCCTCACGTGAGGACACGGGCTTTCTGCAGACACCACCTGCCCCTTCATCCGTGGGTTTCCGCTCTCCGGATCTGTAAGAGGTGAATTTCTGTTGTCTACAGCTTAATCCAGCCTAAGGTATTTTGTTATGGACTAAGACAATCAACACACTTACGTGTATATGTCAGCAGTGCTGGTGTACTCATATGTATCTGCACGTAGGCTCTTCACATTTTTTTTTTTTTAACTCTAAGCACTGAATTTAATCACTGCCATCCAACAGCCGATTTATAACTACTGCTGCAACAGAACATCTGGTCCTTTAGCCTTGTAGTCTGAATCAGACACAGCAGAGAAACCCTGAGTGTGGAGTCTCAGACTCAGGCATGCAGTCCTACTCTGTGTTCCAAGTTCTCCAGGTGCTGTCAGGTTACAAGAAAATCCAGGGCAGCTCCAAGGAGGAATTATGGTATGGAGTGGGAAAGTGCAGCCCGGGGAGGGCGCAGACAGATGCTTGTCTTGATGCTACCCTGCGAGTGTCTGGTGGGCATGTGGGCTTAAGGTTGTTGTCAGCACTGGCTGGGCATTCGTAGGAGCCCATAGGAGTGAGGTGGGGTGGGAAGGCATCTTGCGAGGTATGTGGAGAGTAGGGTAGGCATCATTCCTCTCCATCCAAGAGAGGTGGACCTAGTTTTGAGTGACCTCACCTTGCAAAGGCCCTCTTACTTACAATAAATCCCCATTTTTCAAAAATTTTAAATTTTACTGTATACCCATACACAGCACACACAGACTTGTGTAATGAAGGGTCTTCAAAATGTTTGTGGAAACCACATATTATTAAAAAAAACTACGGGGGCCTACAATGTAGTGCAGCAAGTTAAGCCACCATATTGGAGTGCCAGTTCAAGTCCTGGCTGCTCTGCTTCTGATCCAGCTTTCTGCTCATGCACCTGGGAAGGTGGCGGATGATGGCCCAAGGGCTTGGCCCCTGCCACCCTTGTGAGAGACCCAGACAGAGTTTCTGACTCCTGGCTTTGGCCTGGTCCAGCCCTGGCTGTTGTGGGCATTGGGGAGTGAAATAGCAGATGGAAGATCAATCCCTCTCCTTCCCTTCCATCCCTTCTTCTCTCTGACACTCTGCCTTTCAAGGAAATAAATTAGTCTTAAAAAACTATGTATGAGTTTCCAGAATTTTTTTTTGCAGCAAAATAAACTTGCACTAACTTGTTATATCATGTCTAATGGGATCTAGTTTGAGGTAGTAAGTTGGATCAGACATCAGTTTGAAAACAGTCCTTACCAGAGCAACGCAAATTCTATAAGAATTGAAGCAAGAACAAACATCAAATTTGAAATTTGAATTGAAATGGAAAATTGAAGCTTGGATGGAAGAACGGTTAAATCACTGACAGCTTATGAAAAGTTTATAAAGACAGTTCCTGCCCCCCACATCAGCAGTTTACAGATGGATAACCAATTTTAAGAAGGGGTGAGGCAACGTTGAATATGAAACTTGCAGTGGCAGATCATCCACATCAGTCTGCAAGAAACATTTAATCTGTTCATTCCCTAACTGAAGAGGATGGAGGATTTACAGCAGGAACAACAGCCAGCACCACAGGCACCTCAATTCTGACCAAAAAATTAAAGAGAAGTCAACTTGCTGCTCATTGGTTGCCAAAACTGATGTGCCCAGATAAGATGCAGACAAAGCAGAGCGCCCCATGGAAATTTTAACAACTTCGATCAACGCATCAAGAGTTGAAACAGGAGATGAAACATGGTCTTACCAGTACAATCCTGAAAACAAAGCACAGTCAAAGCAATGGCTACCAAGAGGCAGAAGTGACCCAGTCAAGGGAAAAAGCAGATTGATCCAGAGTGAGGGTCAGGGCAACAGTTTGTGGGGTGCTCAAGGCACTGTGCTTGTTTACTTTCTTTAGGACCAAAGAACCATTATCATCTGCTTATTAGAAAAGTATTTTTGAGAAAGTAAGCAAAGCTTTCCTAGGAAAACACCTGGGGAAAACTTGCTGTAGTGTCCTTCTTCACCATGACAAGAGCCCTGATTATTATTCTCCTACAACAAGGGCAATTTCGTGAGAGTTTTAATGGGACATCATCAGGCGTCCACCTTACAGTCCTGACTTGACCCCCTTCAACTTCCTTTTGTTTCCTAATTTAAAAAAAAAGTCTTTTTAGGGGCCTGCACTGTGGCATAGTGGGTAAAGCCGCCGCCTCAGTGCTGGTGTACCATATGAACTCTGTTTCGAGTCCCAGCTGCTCCACTTCTGATCCAGCTCTCTGCTATGGCCTGGGAAAGCAGTAGAAGATGGCCCAATTCCTTGGGTTCCTGTACCCACGTGGGAGACCAAGAAAAACCTCCTGGCTCCTGGCTTTGGATTGGCCCAGCTCCAGCCATTGCAGCCATCTGGGGAGTAAACCAGCAGATAGAAGATTCATCTCTCTCTCTCTCCCTCTCCCTCTCTCTCTCTCTCTGCCTCTGCTTCTTTGTAACTCTGCCTTTCAAATAAATAAATATTTTTTTAAAAATTTCAGGGCACCCATTTTTCTTCAGTTGATGATATTAAAAAAGTGCATTTGGGATCCAGTGCTGTGGTGTAGTGGGTAAAGCCAGCATCCCATATGGGAGCTGGTTCCAGTTCCAGCTGCTCCACTTCTAATACAGATCCCTGCTAATGTGCCTGGGAAAGCAGTGGAAGATAGCCCAAGTGCTTGGGCCCCTGCACCTCCATGGGAGACCTGGAAGAAGCTCCAGGCTCCTGGCTTCTACCTGGCCCAGCCGGAGCCGTTGCAGGCATTTGGGGAGTGAACCAGTGGGTAGAATACCTCTCTCTGTCTCTCTAATTCTGCCTTTCAAATAAAATATTTTTTAAAAAAGAGTGCATCCATATAAATTTCCTTCAGTTCTTTGAGGATGGACTAAATGGCTGGTAATATTTCCTACAAAGTGTCTTGAATTTGAGGGCGCTTCAGGGAGCTTATGTTGAAAAATAAATTTCATATTTTTCATTTTTATCCTTTAACTCCATTTTACCACGTACTCTTTGACATTCTCACATATGCATGCACGTGTGTAGTTAATTTGGTCATTGTTAATGTATAGTTACTGGATTCTTACATATGCATATATCCCTGAAGCCACACCAAGATCAAAATACAGATAAAGTTCTCTTTCGTCTTTCTCCACTTAATACCTCCAGAGGTTACCACTGTTCTGACGTCTACCACCGTCAACTGGCCTCTCTTGTTTTGGAGCATCACATAAACAAAATTGCATGTTGCTATTCAGCTGCACCTATTTCAATGCCATTCACTCACATCTTGTATGACAACAGATCAAAGTTTTAAGGCTGCTGGGTAGTCTTCCATTACATGGGTGTTCCAACATTTACTTATCCTGTATCCAATGACGGACATTTAGGTTGTTTCCAGGTTTTTTTTCCTCTTGAATTTCATGAAAACACTGGTATGACCATCCTTATACCTACCTTTTGCTGGACATTTGCACTGAGTTCTCTTGGGCCTTCTTGGTAGTGGCGTCTCTTGGTATGCAAGTTCCAGTGACTTACATCTTTGCTAATATTTAGAATTGTCAGTCTTTGACGTTTCAGCCACTACAGTGAATGTACTAGTTTGTGAATTCCATGAAGATTGAGCATCTTTTCATGTACTTATTGGCTATCAGATGTCTTTGCCTTCTGTGAGTACCTTTGCAAGCAGTTCTCCCATTTTCTCTGGGACTCCTCTCTTAAGAAAGTGAGAACGAGGATTTATGTTTTCTATGTCTGCACATCTCCCGCACCACAGAGGGCTACACATACACATGTACAAATCTGGGTCAGTTATCAGGGATTGATCAGAAAAGCAGAACACTTGTTAAGTGACAAGGAATGGAGGATTTCTTGTAGGCTGGTTAGAAGTGACTCAGAGGGGCCTGGCACTGAGGTGTAGTAGGTTAAGCTTCCGCCTGTGGCGCTGGCATCCCATATGGGCACTGGGTTGTCCCAGCTGCTCACTTCCGATCCAGCTCCCTGCTGATATGCCTGGGAAAGCAGCTCAAGATGACAAGTGATGGGGCCCCTGACACCTACCTGGAAGATCTAGATGGAATTTCTGGCTCCCGGTTTTGGCTTGGCCCAACCCTGGCCATTACGGTCATTTGGGGAGTGAACCAGCAGATGGAAAACCTCTCTAGATCTCTCCTTCTTTCTCTGTATCTCTGCCTTTCAAATAAATAAAAAAAAATCTTGAAAAACAAAAATCAACAGACTTAGGAGTCATAGGAGCTCTGAGATGACTGGTGAACTTTTCAGTAATTTAATATTTGTAAATGATTTGAAAATACATGTGTCACTGCTCTGTAATTACTTCTTCACTTTTTCTAGCTGGTTGTATTAGTCATTTTTTCATTACTATAATGCAATGCCCAAGACAGGTTACTTTATAAAGAAAAGAGGTTTCTTTTGCCCATAGTTCTGGAGGTGCAAGTCCTCAGGCGGCCCAGAGCATTATATGGGGAAGAGACGGGGAGCATTTGTGTCTGTGTTTCTCTCTGCTCTTCACCCTTCTCATAAAGTCACCAGGATTCAACCATGGGGGCTGTACCCTGATGCCCTCACCTAATACTAATCACTCTGCAAAGGCCTCACCTCTAAACACCGAAGTCTAGTGAGGATTAAGTTTTAACACATGAAGCCTTGGGGTACACAGCAACAACATCCCAACCAAGCACTGATGTAGAGAAACCTTATACACATGTTTCCAGATGGTTATCATTTCTTTTTTTCATTGCTGCATTTTTCCTTTTCCTTCACCCTCAGCTCTTTTAAGGAGAGAGCAGGCATTGTTTCTTGGCCAAGGAAAAGATGCAGTGAGGCTGAGAGCAGAAATTGCCTGCAAAATATTTCCCTTTCTGTCTTCTGTGATCTTAAACCTGATTCCAAAGGAGGAGTCAGGGTAGTGGCTCCTGGAGCGGTGGGGGCAGCAGGATCCCAGGGAGGGCCAATAGATGCAGCCAACTTGTGACCAGTGTCCCAAGATCCCAGGAGGTGGACATTATTGTTGTCTCCAGTTTAGAGAACACGAAGGCATTATAATTTGGGGGAATAGGGTGCACACACCATGAGGCCATCCAGGTACTTGAGGCAGGCCCTGTCTGCTCCCCCGTGGGGTCTGGTCCTGGCTATCTATCTAGATAGGGGGTCTCTGTCTCCAGTACCAGGTGTTCCACAATGCAGGCTTCTCCTTCTCATTCCCACCTGTTGGCTTCTCTTGTGAATTCAAGTGCAGCACAGGATGGATCATTTTGGACGGCACAATTCTTATCTGACTTTATGTGTGGGATTCCAACAGCAGAAGGATATTCTCTGACTCCCAGGAGTCTGTGGTCAGTTGGGGCCCTGGGTTTTTTTAAACATTTGGTAGTGTTTGCCTTTTCCAGTTCCGTCTCCTCCAACAACTGACTGGCAGCCTTCTCTGCACTAAGTGTGGTCAGGTCTGACACCATGCACTCGCAGTGGAACTTTCCTCACGTCCCACTCCTTGAAGCCAACGTCAGCTGTTTTCCACCCAATTTAGTGATATTTTATCTCAATTTGTTGCTCACTTGTCTATCCTACTCCAAGTTTCCATTCATTCCATAACAGTTTCTTAAGGGGCCAGTGCTGTGGCGTAGTGGGCTGAGTCTCTGCCTGTGGCGCCAGCATCCCATATGGGTGCTGGTTCAAGTCCCAGCTGCTCCTCTTCCCATCCTGCTCTCCGATAGTGCCTGGGAAAGCAGTAGAAGATGGCCCAAGAGTCTGGGCCCCTGCACCTACGTGGGAGACCCAGAGGAAGCGCCTGGCTCCTGGCTTAAGATGGGCCTAGCTCTGGTCATTTTGGCCATTTGGGAAGTGAACCAGTGGATGGAAGGCCTCTCTCTCCCTCTGTCTTACTCTGCTTCTCAAAAAAAAAAAAAAAAAAGAATAAATATTAAAAAAAATTCCTTGAGCCCTCGGGAAGTGTCAATCCTTGTTCTGTGTATGGGGGCTACAAATTCTCCCCTGGACTAGGTCTCTGCTCTCCTGAGCTTCCATCTGGGCCCTGGCTCCCATGCTGTAGATGGATGCTGTAGGAGGATGCTGGCACACCATTGTATTGATTTTACGGACAGCAGGTACACAACAGAGCTTTAGAAATTTCATGGAACATGGAATTAAAAGATAAGTTTATTTTAGTGCAGAAAATTAAAATCCATGCATAGTGTTTTCCTAACACACATTATCCATGAAATGTTTGAAGCCTCCTAGTATATCTAAGTGCCCCCCACTCTCCCATTGCTGTAGTATGTGTGTGTGTGTGTGTGTGTGTGTGTGAGAGAGAGAGAGAGAGAGACAGAGACAGAGACAGAGAGAGAGGGAGAGCAGCTGAAGTGGAAAACAAATACAGGGAACAGACAGTGGAAAATCCTCTGATAGGTTCCTCCATGGCTGTCTTCTAGAAATGGAAACAGATCTGCAGTTTCTAGTTAAAATTAGAGAAGACAACAAGAAAAGACAGAGCCAGATTAATTGAGATTCATCACAAATGGTAAAATTGAGGTTATGATTTTAAAATTCAGCCCTTGACTTAAAGGAGTTAAGTTATGCACAAGGAAATCAGGCACAAGTGAAATGGAAGAGCAGATTGCTTTTTGGCCTTGGAAAAAACCTTTTCTTCTTCACTGCCCGTGGGGGACTTAGAAGGCAAAAGCCATTTTGCTTTCTACCCAAAGAGGGCAAAAACACAGTTGTCCAAGCCCACCCTCGCGAGCTGCTCTTAGCTAGCACTAGATGGACGTACTGGCGCACATTCAACACAAACCAGTAAGTACACGCTTATCAGATATCAGATGCAGGCGGCTGGTATTGAGCACTTACCAGTCCACTTCTCATTTTAAAATGTTCACCTTAGCAGCCAGATTCAGACCCACCCCCCACCCCCCCACCCCCCACCCCCCGCTCTATTAGACCCGACTCAGCAGACGCTGCCAGTTGTGACTGGGCTGAGCTGGATGTCCAAGCTGCCGAAGGTAGGTGGCAGTGTGGTCTGCTGGTTCAACTCCCAGCTCCGTGTTTAGCCAGACCCTTGTCTGTGGTCTGGGGACAAATGACCAAATCTTCGGAAGCCTCCACTTCCTCCTCTGTAAAATGGAGACAAGCTCCCAGTTATTGTGAGGACCAAACAAGACAATGCACGCAGCGCTTCCTACACAGCTCTCAGCAGAGACTAGCTGCTATCATGAAATTACCCATGAGCACCGATAAAACGCAACAGCCATTATTACCGGGAGTGGAGGGAGGAAGCAAACTCAAGAGATGCAGAACAAAGCCGACATCGCACGAAATCAAGCCACTGAGGAATGAATCACAGGTTTCCAGATTCCTCTCTGATACGATGGATGCAAGAGCTGGGCAAATCTGGGGGGAGGTTGAGAGAAGTGAAAATTGTTACCACTTTGATTAGCTGCACCTCTGTTGACCGTGAAGCCCCGTGCACTTTGGTTAGTCCGCAGGTTTAGTTTTGGCAGAGGGAACTAACTGCGGCGACTGTAATGCAATTGGGTTACCATTCTCACACGCTAGGGCAGTCACCAGCTCCCATCCAGTACGGCTGCAGGGGCTGGTGTCAGTGCTGGCAGTTGTGCGGAACACAAGGGCGCATTGTTAAGGGGAGTCGAGTCCCAAGTGGCCCTTCAAGGAGACGGGGGCACAGCGCGCTAGGAAGCATCCGTCTCCTTCCCAGCCTGAGGGCGGAATCCTGAGCGCGACCTCGCAGGTCTCCCGAGATCCCCCGCCCTGCTGCGTGTCCCGTGGCCCTCCTGCCTGTGTCCGCAGTCCCTCTGCGCGGGGCAGACACGCCGGCCCGGTCCCCGGAGACTGCCCCCGGCTCGCAGGCGCCAGGTCGGCTCCTGCGGGGGGCGCTGTCGGCAATCTCCGCGTGGCCTGGAGTTCCTGGGGCTGCCGGCGGCGGCGCGCGCCCCGCTAGCCCGAGCCCGGCGAGCCGGGGGCCGCAGCCTGGGCGCCCGCACGCTCCCCGCCTCCGGGCGCGTGTGGGCCGGGCGCGCCGGGACCCCCATCGCGCCTCCGCCGCGGCGGCCCCCCGCCCCCCGCGGCCTGGCCTCGCGCCGGGTCCCCGCGGCGGAGTGGGGAGGAGGAGGGGAGAGACTGGAGGAGTTGGCGACAGACGCAGCCTCGGCGCGCACGGTTCCGGCTGCAGACAGACGGCGGCGGGCGGCGGCTACCTCCCCCGCACGGCCGCGGCACCGCTCCCTCGGCCCCCGCCCCCAGGCAGCGGACCCGGACCGGAGGGACGAGCCCGCGAACGCGGTGGGCCCGGCCCGCCCCGCGTGCCGCCGCGGCCGGCCGGGGATCCCCTGCGAGCCGGGGAGGAGCCGCCGCCACCGCCGCCGCCGCCAGACAGCCTGCGAGTCCCTGGGAAAGTGCAAGGGGGCGGGGAGCGCGGGGGCGGCGCGGGTGTCAGGTCCTCGGCTCTTAAAGAGCCCGGCGCGCTGCGCTCCCGGCCAGCCCGCCCGCGCCCCCCGCCGCCGCAGTCCGCGCCCCGCGCCCCTCCCCGCGGCCGGCGGGGCCGGGTGGCCCGCGAGCCGCACTGCGGGCGCTCCCCGCCCCGCTCGGAGCGGCGGCCGCAGGTGAGTGCGGACCCGGCTGGCTGCCGTGGTCGCGGCGGCTGGCCCAAGTTCACCACCGCGCTCGGGCGGGAGCGGTGGCCGAGGGGGCGGGGGACGCGGGGACTGGACGCTCCGGGAACGGGACGTCCGCGAGCCTGCGCCGTCGGAGGGGTCGGAGGGAGCGGCAGGCGCCACGCACCCTCCCAGCACGGCGCGTCCCCCGGAGACAAGGGCGCGAGGTCTGTGCGCCGGGTCGCGGGTGGGCACGGCCGGTGCCCCGGGGCGCTCGCCCAGGGAGGGGTGCTTGTGCTTGTAGCAGTCGTGTCGCTCCACCTCTACCCCCAGCCCGTTTTCTGTTCCCGGTGCCCTGGGCGCGGGCGTCCCGAGATCGCAGGACTCTAATTCTGCAGCACTGGAAGCCAGGATGTGCGCGGGGCTGCCCTGGCAGTTGCCACCCCTTTAGGCCGCTCGCGGACCCCTGCGGGAAAGGGGACTGGAGGTCGGCGAGAAGCGGGAAGATCGCGCAGGACCTTGCCGGTAGTTTGCAGGGAGGAAGGGGGCGCGAGCGGCCCGCATCCTCGCCCTGCGTGCTGCCCCCTGCACCCCACACTCCCCAGACGCTCGGACCCGCCTTGCCCGACGTCCGCCGGGTGCCCCCGCACGCGTTGACGTCGGTCGCGGGGCCGCCCGCGCTCCCTGCATTGGCTGGGACGTGGATGTCTTGGTGGCTGCTGCTGTGCTCAGGCTGAGTCCAGAGCCCCGCAGGAAGCAGGCGTGTGCTGCATTTCTCGGTGACCCTCAGCGTGGAATAAACAGGAAGCGACGAGCACTCGGCAGGGCCGGCACTGGCCTTGTTGCGGGGTCTGCTGCCCCGCACGGCCGCCAGGAGGCTTCCTCGGACCCCTGCCCGGTGCGCAGCCCGGAGTGGGGCTGGGGCGCGCCCTGTGAGTACGCGGGCAGCTCTCAGTTGGCTCTGTGGAGGCTAATTTCGCGAGGGCGGCGGGGAGGGCATTTGCCTGCTTTTAAACTTTTTTTTTTTTTTTCATTTGAAAAAGGAGGAGGTTTCCCAAGGAGGCAGAGGTTTTCAGGGCAACGGGGACGCGTGGGGCTGGGGGTGGTGGGCGGCACCTGGAGAAGGCGCTTCCGGGAGCGCCCTGGTCTCCAGGTTACCTGGCAGGGCCGAGGGTCCGCCTGTCAGGACTGGGAGAGGACTCTTTAAGGGAGCAGAGCTAACTGGGGGCTGCTACCAGGCACAGGAGTGAGTGCTGAATGGCAACGGCCACATGAAGCCAGCGTTAATTTTTGTTTTCCCCAAAGAATCTTTTAATTAGCTAGAATTGGATAATTTTGATTTGCTCCTCTTCTTTTCCTCTAACCTCCCCGCCCCCCATTCTAATTATTTTTGCCACATTCTTATCCCTGGACCCCTCAGGTGCAGGTCAGCCAGTGCTGGTTTCTCAACCTCCCTTACAGTTACTGCAGACCTACTGTGTGCTACGTTGTGGGCTGCAAGGTGGGGTTAGCTGTGTGGAACGTTGATTGCAAGAGCTTCTGTCACTAAGTTCTGAGCAGCAGAGATGACTACAGATGGTGTGCACAGCGCCGGCTCTTAAAAATAGGGTTCCGTGGCTGGCATGGAGGTTGGCGCCTTCCCGCAGAGCCAGCGCTGGGAAACTTCCCTTTAAAAATGGCCCTTTCTGCTAGTTTGGCTGGCCAAGAAGGGCATTCTCCTGTCTGTGTCTGCCCTGGAGCCTGGGCACTGAGTATTAAATTACAGGGAAGGCTCTGTAAAGTCTACACGGAGCAACTAGCACTGCATTAAGTCATGTCTGCACTCTGCAGATGAGGATTCAGTCTTCCCTTGCTCCTTAAAATTGTTTACTGTAAACTTGCCTTCGTTTTCTGTACAGTTCTCTCCCACTGTAGTTTTCGTGTGCAGTAAAGGATCCTCGTGTTGAGCTGAATTGATTGCATAGGCAGATGAGTAGATCTGAATGTCACCCATGTGCACCTACTGAATTGCGACATGTGGTTCATGATCAGCCCCTGAAATGTCATTTGATGGCCCTTGCACAAGCAGGTGCATTTTAAAACGTGGGGGTAAATGCCTCATGGTCTCTGAAAGCTTAATTCTTTTAAGAGCTCCACTTTGCTGTTGACATTGTACACACTGTTGGGAATCAGGGCTGAGACTGCGAATGCCAATAAGGGATTTGCTGTGATGGAATTGTAGCTACCTTCCCTCCCTTGTTTTAAAAGACCTTGCCAATTCCTTAACATCCTGCTGTTACCCTTGGAAGGGTTCGCCCTCCCTGGCCATGGGTCTCCCTGGGCTCGGCTTGCGTTTGCCTTGGAGAAGACTTTTCCCAGCAGTTTTTCAAGGCTGTCTCTTGAATCCTTGGGGGGGGGGGGGGCGTGGGCTCAGTTTGCATGACCACAATCCTGCAGTGGCGCCCAGCCAGGACCAGCTGCTTATTAAGGGATTTTGTGCCAATTTGTTGGCACATCATTTGAGATTCAACAGTCCTCACCCCCCCCCACACACCCAAGTATATACATACATAGACAAATATTTATTTTCTCCCAACTGCTGACAGTGTTTTAAGAATAGTTTTCTGAGAGCAAGGTCCTTTCTGCAGAGGTGTTTACAGTTTGGGACTGTGCTGTATGTAGTCTTGGTTGACTTAGCAGCCTGGCAAGGCAGCCTTGCCTGCTCGGGAGATGCTGTCTTTCATCCGGGCTGCTAGAGGGGCGGCTCTCCAGCCTGCCAGGAGAATGTAGAGTCGGAGACTGACTTTGGCTCCGTGGGAGTAGTTTCTGGCTAGAGACCCCTGAGCTCTGGCCCCCTTTGCATTGACCCAGCATCAGGTCACCGTGGTGGTGCACCAAAGGTGTCACATAAAATTAGAGCCACTCAGGGCTCTGATCGAGCATCCTTGTCGCCGGTGATCCGGTCACATTTTTCTGGTCACCTGTGCCATGTTTCTTCTCACTCTTTGTCCAAATCTAGGCTTACCCAGCCTTCTCTGTGAGGAAACTGTCTTCAGAGTTAAGAGAGAAGAAATAAACCCTAGAAGCAGATCTGCCAAGGAAGAGCATACCGTTTTAACCTGGAAAAAAATTTTTAGAAACATTTAACATAATTTATGCAGGCACATGGATATTAAATGTGAACAGTGACAGAATTGCTATGTAATCCTCAACTGCTCTTTCCTTTCTTTGTTCCTCTCCTCGTCTCTGTTCCTTCCTTTTTTAGGTCTCAGAGAAATCTCCTGGAAGCCATTATTTTCTGTGTCAAAGTGACTTTCTGCCTACATGGGCTGTGTTAGTCTAGAATTACATCTTGACCTATATTATGGGTGCACATGGAAGGTGAATCTTGAGTTTTAAATTAGGAAGGTAGGGGTTCTGCCTCTGTTAGCGAATTCAGACCACAAGCCCTGCCACCTTTTAGGGAGGGGTGTGTGTGTGTGTGTGTGTGTGTGTGTGTCATTTCTTGCATCATTGTTAGGCAACCAAAGGAAAGAAGCAAGCACCTGTGCTATTAATTGCTGGAGAAATATGGGGTTAAGATCCCCAATTCATGTCATTATTTTTCCCTCTGTCACGGGAGGACTTGAAAATAATGTCTCTGTTGTCATGTATCCACGTGATCTAAGTGTGCATTGCTTTTCTTTGAATTCCCACTAAAAATGGTCCTCTGGCCTTTTGAGCTGTTTTTGTGCGGACTTTTTCTTTCCACTAAGCTTGCTTTCCAGATAGGTCTTGGAAATTACGAAGAACATAGCTATAATTTCTCCCATGATTGGCAGCTGAGAGCTTTCCCGGACAAAAATAAGGCTCCACCGTGCCAAATGGTTGACTTTTCTAGAATAAAAACTCTAAAGGGTATGCAAAAAGTCCTCTGGTTAATATATTGGCATTCCCAGAACCCACTAAAACTCCGGCAGCCTGCCAGACTCCACTTAATGAGGATGCAGAATGTCTGGCTCGAATCCCCACGAGCAGAAGGGGGTGGGGGCTGGATGTCCACACCCTTTATTAATTTTTAATGACTGTACTTTTGTTTTGCAGATTTTGCTCTGCACCCCCCCCCCCGCCCCGCCCCACACAAGTGACCCCCACACCACCACCCCTCCCCCTCCCCCTCTCTCTCCGCTGCATTTATTTACTCATTTACTTGGTATTGGGAAAATGTTGAACTTCCAAGGTTAAGAATCCTGCCGAGGGATCCTTTCTGTTCGCATGGCTTCTTTTGTTTTTGGTTTTCTTTGTTTTTCCTCTTTTTTTCTTCTTGGAAGAGGAAGAGAGAAAAGGGAATAGAAGAGATGACAACTTCTTATTTTTTTTTTAAATGATGCTTTATTGTCTGCTGGAAAAAGAGAAGCATTTACGAAACTTTAAGTTTGTCAGACAGTTTATATGACAGTGCAAGTTGGTGCTTGCCAAGCTCCAGACAGATTGTTAATGTTACATGACAGGGATAAATAAATTACCGCTGTCTGCAGCACGCTTGCACTGCAGACACCCTCTGCAGCCGCGCTGCTCACCCGGGGCCTGCGGGGTGTGCAGCTGCAGGGGAAGGCCTGCGCTGCTCCTACAATGCTGGGACTCGGCTCAGAAACAAGGGTGTGTCTCTCGCTTTTATTTTTGGCTGTGCTGCGGGGCACAGAATCCACATAGCAGCTCTCTGTGTTTTACTTTGCTAGGCTGCTCTGCCTCCTTGGCTGTGGGCTGTGGTCCCTCCCTCCCCTCCCCCGACCCCCACACACAACCACATCCTTCCCCCACACCAGGGAACATGGCCCCCAGTCTCCTTCCCAGGAGACCTCAACTTTGTTCTTAGCGGCTCAGAGCCCGAGGTGTCTCAAAGCCAAGTTTCAGGCTGTTTACAATTGTGTTCTTTCTGCAGGTGCAGACACTGAGAACAAATTGTCTGCGCCAGATAAGTGTGTGCGGTGGGGAGGGGGCTGGGTGGCACTCCTTGGGCATAATGTACTTTCATCGCGGGCAGTTCGGAG